TCACACATTTGTTTCTGTGCACGAACACTTTCAGATGACAGGCAAAGAATATGCACGTTACAAGGTTTCCATATCAGTTTCAGAAAGCCGTAAATCATCTTTCGGTTTCCTCCCTGCCATGCTCGCTTCTCACACTTCGGCTGTTATACAGTACTTCAAAAAATGAGGTTGTAGGTTTCATATGGCACAATATCAGACATCGACATGCAGTCACAGCGCTCTCAGTGTCACAGCGAAGGGAAAGCAAAGTGGCTAAAGTGTGGTGCAAAGGAAAAGGAAGACATGCCTTGTGCATATAAAAAAAGGAACATTAAAAAAAAAAAGGTCCAAGTTGCTGGATACACATCTCCAGCAGGAGAAGACATGAAGTAAGGCTGTACAACTACAAACAGAAATTAGTGTTATACAGCATGGTTGAAAACAAAGTCATACTGAACATTACTACTAGGCTTTTGTGGTTATTTTGCATTTCTTTATGAGCATTTTCTATTTCTTTGTGGTGTGCACCTAGAAACCCAAATGGTACTCCTAGATATCATATTCTGACTGTGATGGGGAGGTGTTAGTCTACATTTGGTAATAATGGCTGTCACATATTTAACTCTTCACATCAACAACAAATTTGTAAATGATGATTCATTTTAAAGACGTTCCTTTTTTTCTTACACCAGGAAGTCACTTTCAGTAAAAGTTTGTGACTGAAGACCAAACATTTCTTTACGACACCTAAGCAACTCGTACCCTAGACATATTGTTTTACAGTAGTTTCTATTCAGTCAGGTCAGTGCAAATAACAATTAAACCTGATTTGATTGTGTGATTACTGAAGAAAAACTGAGTAAGTTCACTTGAACGCATCACTGAATACAAGAGTTCAGTGTTTTGCTTCATTTGCATCCAGAGAAGATTTTTATTGTAACAGAAGTTGTGACTGTCTCTGAACAGTTGGTTGCAAAACATTTCTTTCAAATTGGTATAAAAACTAGTAATCAAAATAGTCATCTCAGTCATCATTTATTTTTCTTCCAAAATCTAAAAGTTACATTTAAAATCACTTGTGAAGGACAGGTTTATATGAACACTTCACATGCAATTCTGACCACAAGATTCTTTAGTCACTAGTTCATTTATCTCAGTGTTGACATCTTAAATGAACATAAATATGAAATACATCACTGGATTCTGTGAACTTGACAAAACTGTTTTTAAAATGACAAATGCAATTTTTTACATAAAAAACATCATTTCCCTTTTTTAATGGGTGAACCTTTATACTGAGAGTCTTGAAAGAGAAAGTATATTTACTTAATATTTTTCCTCTAGGACCGGATTTATGTTTATGACTTGTTTATAGCACATACTCAGACTCCACCCACAGACTGCACCCAAATCTCAACAAACAAGCATGGCTGAGAAGCAAAGTAGCCAAAAGAAAAACTTTGAGACAGTGGGTGATTGTAACTTTCTAAAAGTATGGAAACAGGATGTTCGAAAAGTGAATGTACAAGATCAAGATCACAGCAAAAGTTTGTCACTAAAGGGTAAAGGTGGGAATTTTGTTTGACAATGTTGTGCCTTAATAAAACAACATATGTGTAAGCAAAGCTTGGAGGTTTAATAATTTAAAAGACACTGATTAAAACAGTCTTAAAGAGAAGTCAGATTTTAAGGACTTTTGTTTTCTCTTTTTAACAGTAAAAAATTAAAAAATGAAGCTTTATAAGGAATTCAGCCACATTTTTGATGCAGTACAGAAAAACTTTCAACAATTTTTTCTTCTTTTTCATTTTTTTTTGCCTGAACAATTAAGAATGAGTTGCTTAACTTAGAACTGTAAAACTGAAGTGATATATGAATATGCACAACTGCAACATTTGATATAGTTTCTCTACATGTCTGTCATGGTCCTGGTTCAGTTTGAATCTAGCTTGTGCTCTAATGTTTATTTTAGAATGATAAAAGCAAAACCTTCAATAGAAAATAAAAATAATAACCTAAGTCTGTTTTAATGACAATGAAAGTAATGTTTAATTGAGCCTGAACGCTTCACTGGAAAGGAAAAATAAAAAAAATAAAAGAAAAAACCCTGATCTTAACATTTTTTGACCCCTCTGTGTCAGCCATGACTGGTTGTTGTCCAGAAATCTCACTGAGTGTTTAATGACCTGACTGGCATGGGTAGACTTGGCTGAGCCTGAATTAATGTATTAAACGGAAAGTTGTCAAAAAGCCCAAACTCTCGGTTGCTTCCATTCTGCTGCTGATGGGAAAAGCAGAAACTGGAAAACAGTACAGTTTGATCATTTGTTTAATAGATTAACAAGCAAAAAGGCAAATAATCAAATGAAATACACTAGGAACTAGTTTAAAAGGACTGATGGGATTGCATGGCTATATTTGTTCATAAAGGGTCCCCTGCTTATTGGGCAGTTAAGTAACAGTTAATCGGAGAGTAATTTTATATTAGCCAGTGGAGGAATAATCTCATGTCCAAAACTGCTTTACTTTTATTTTAAGCCTTGAATAGAACAGTGGAAAAAATGTAAACTATTTACACTTTTATATTGCCATTTTTTCCCCGTTTTTATTTTACGTAAAACATTTGTCGATTCAACATTGCTAAACTATGTTAAGGTCCAAAGTGATGACTAAAACGTCGGTACCAACTTTAGATTGAAGTATCCACTTGTTATTACTGACTGCTGTTTTTTATGTTGTCACAACACAAACGGAAAAGAACAGACTTTGTAATGATATAAAACAAAATGTAGTCTATAATACATGTTTTTTTTTAAATTGTGGGAAAATAAAGACATTTTCATTAAAAAAAACAAATGCTTTGCACATCTACCCTAAGTACCTTTGCAGTAATAGTCCCCATAATATATAAGCTCAATGACATGACTGCCATTGCAATAATATTTTCCATAATAACAAATGCAGTATGTTTGTTTCTGCTGCACGTATGCTTGTTATTCTTATGCAAACTGGAATTTTGGTGATTAAAAATGTGATTTTTCATTAAAAAAGCCTTTCTAAACATGATCAAAAACGTGGATTTTGGTCAATTGTTGAATAAAACACTTGGATTTTTAGACACAATAGTGCTGAAGCTTGAGTATTCCCAAATTCTCAAATGAAAAAAAAAAAAAGAACTCCAGTTTCTTTTAGCAGTATGACAAATTATGTTTAAAATGTTCAGGAGGGTCAGTATTATCACCAACACAGTTTGAGCAAAAAGATTTCAGCAAATATTTTAAAACGTCTACAAAACATGCAGAGTAAAGTAGTAAAGCAAAGCATTGCTGATTTCAACATTTGAAACTACTGTATTATTGCAATGGATCATCTGTACCTTTAGTTTCTCATGCAATAGTAACATTTGTTTCAAGATGTCTACATGTTTTTAAAAAAGTAATCAAATAATTAATATAAAATTCATCTCTTATGGCTAAAATGCTGGTGTTACATCTTTGTTTGTTTGTTTTTTTTTCAATTCATTTGCAATGTTGGTTTAGGAAGACATATTTTGTTTAAGGGAGGTTTTTAAACGGCACAGTAGCTTGGGCTCAATGTGTGACAAAAATTATGGTAAATGATTGGGGGGATGGGGGCGGGGGCATCATCCAGTTGGTTCCCATACAGTTTGTGAGTTAGTTACATGCTGGACACTAGAGCGGCAATTTCAGCGGCAGTTTAATAGCATTTGCTGCGTAAGATGAGGACATACTTTTGCATGTACTTAAACAACTGTGGGTCCAAGAAATTCACAACCCAGAAAGTAAATAAACTATGTACAATTTCTTTTACAAAAGCCATACAAGAAGCCAAAAATAAAGTAAACAAACAAAAAATGTACAAGGCACATTTGAATTTCCACAGGCATAATTCAGCAGTGGCGCTAGGTGAAACAAATGCCTCTGCGCTTCAGAAAGGGAGTGCAAAATCTTGCCTCTTTGGTAGATAAATGGAGGCTCAGTAGCCCTTAAGGAAAAACAGAGGTGCAAAAACAAACATTCAACCATTTTAAAGTTCCTTCCTAAAAGTAAAAGTTCAGCAAAGGAAGGAACGACCAGAAAAAAAGACAAAAAAAGAATGAAAGGACAGTTAAAGAAACAGACAGACAGACAGACAGACAGACAGACAGACAGACAGACAGACAGACAGACAGACAGACAGACAGA